TGCAGTTTATAGTTTATTCAGGTTCAGGAACACATCAGAATTACTTCTTAAAAGGACTGTATGTGTGTGTGGGGGGGTATATTTTACAGAACCATTTGTGAGGTCTGTACCATTTAAAGCTTTTATAGATTATCAGTATTATATAGATACATGGCTCATCTAGTTACCAACCTGTTTTTCTGATCCTCATAAAATGCAGAAGGAGAGGTTACAATTATAATAAACATATAATTCCAAATATATGCATAGTGAAATAATTTTTAAAAAGTTTTAAGTGCCTTTAAGTAGGAAGAATCATATAGGTAACATAAGAGCTAGGAATTAATCTTAAACTAGGAAGAAAATACTTGTCAGTAAATTGATCACATAAAAGAACTATGAAAACTGGAAGATGCAATAATGACGTCTTCCTGTTTTGTTGTGTACCATAGAAAAATGTTTAATTCAAGTGGCAAAGACTGAGCATTTGATATCAATAAATATACCTTTTCCAAAGCTTTCATGATTCAAAACACCAGAGTCCTTTAAAAGCAATATTTCAAGGCAGGACTGAAAAGGAAATGAAGAAAAGGACCGATCTTAAAGCTTCACAAATGAATTAAATACATTTTGCCTTTCCCATGTGTTACTATGTCCAGTTATGAGAACTTTCAAAACCTTCTTTGAGTTCCTTCATGAATTTAACAAATAAAGCTTATTCTGTTATATAGTCTTGCTTCGTGTCATTGTTGATGAAGATAGATGAGCCATTCTCACCTGTTGCTCAGAAACACCAGAAAATTGAGCCACTGAAAAGAAAACCAGAAGACGAAAAGGTTTTACCTTGGAGGGGGTAAATTTAGCACTGTGTGGAGAACTGAAGACCTCGTAACCTAGGAATGCTGAACTGAGCGATAAATGATAAGTTTTTAATACGCACAAAATGAGAAAGTATATAAATTTACTCAGATTATATAAATAATTTTCAAGGCAAAGTTCCAGTGGTATTAACACCTGTATCTTCTGATGTATACTCGGGAAAATGAGGCAAATCAAAATAGAATATTATTTTGCTATGTTAATACTTATTCATGAGGATGGTGAACTAGTATAGTAAGAGTTTTTGCTAATGTGGAAAAAACCAGACAATAGGTAATAGGTTTAAATTATAGACGTTAAATACTCAATTTTATTACTTTAAAATATATACAATAACCAGATATACTTTAATGGCTAATAATGACTTTAAAATATATTAAAAAACACAATCTAAGGCAAACTAACCACCTTTCTGCATAGTTTAATTATATGATTTGTAAACAAATCTTTGAAAGTTTTAGAAGAATTCACTGGTTCAGAAACATTTTCCTTTCATCCTCTCTTATCCTATTATAAATCATTAAACTAGTATCCCTGGAAATGTTAACAGTTATATTGAGGGGGCCCAAAAGATTACATGTTGAAATGAACTTTAGAATGTTGGGTTAAGCAAAGTTAAACAGTTTTATTAAAAAAAAAAAAACCTGAGGACTTCTCAGGTCTTTAATATTCATTGTGACTGGGTTGGGATTGGGGGAGATGAGAATAAGCAGAGTTTACCAAACTTACTTTATACAGAATTCTTTCCTCTAGATAATTCTATTATTACGACAAAGGGATCTGGAAGGTGTTAAGTAAATAGAATGGCAGATTAAATAAAAAGTGTAGCATATTATATTTCAATTTGGTAAACTGTAACACTATACCACTTTCTGATCAGATTCTGAATTATTAAGATTTTGATGCACAAAATAAAATTTTTAATTATGTAAATACTGAAGAAACAATACCTTAACTAGAACCAAACTGCCTTAGTATGGTGGCTGGTGGCTTAATCGCTAAGTCGTGTCTGACTCTTGTGACCCCCTAACCCTGTGATCTCTAACCCTAACCCTAACCCTAATTGTGGATGGGTTAGACTGTGGCCTGTCAGGATCCTCTGTCCATGGAATTCTCCAGGCAAGAATACTGGAATACGCACAGAATGAGAAAGTATATAAATTTACTCAGATTATATAAATAATTTTCCTTCCCCAGGGGATCTTCCCGACCCAGGGATTGAAACTGGTCTCCTGCATTGCAGGCAGATTCTTTAAAAAACTGAGCTACGAGCCAGTTTTCCTACTAGTAAATCTTGTTTTGTAATTTGGAGGAATATGTTAAGGCCTTATTGTTGTTGTTCAGTCGCTAAGTCATATCTGACTGTATGCAACCCCATGAAATACAGCACACCAGGATTCCCTATCCTTACGATCTCCGGGAGTTTGCTCAGACTCATGTTCATTGAGTTGTTGATGCCATCCAACCATCTCATCCTCTGTCGCCCCTTCTCCTTCTGCCCTCAATCTTTCCCAGCATTAGGGTCTTTTCCAGTGAGTCAGCTCTTCCCATCAGGTGGCCAAAATACTGGAGCTTCAGCTTCAGCATCAATCCTTTCAATGAATATTCAGGGTTGATTTCCTTTAGGATTGACTGGTTTGATCTCCTTGCAGTCCAAGGGACTCTCAAGAGTCTTCTGCAGCACCACAATTCAAAAGCATCAATTCTTTGGCACTCAGCCTTCTTTATCAGTAATGAATTATACTGAGCATAATGTTTCACTTTTGATATATGCTTTTCTACTTAAAATTGGCTAAATTAACTGGAGTTGGTTTTCTGTCCTAGCCTGACTTTATAATGTTTAAAAATTTCAGCTGCAAAAGCACGCAGATGTAATTTACTATAAGAATAAATTCCCACGTGAGATTGATTTTTGTCTTGTGCAATATACCAATTCCAGCAGTGATACTGAATTTCTACTTTGTTTCATGTAATCCTCACTTCACCTTTGGGCAGGCAGTTATCATGACCACTATTTCACAGATGAGGAATGTGATAGCTAGAGATATCAGCTGCTTTACCCCAGGCCATACAAGAGACAGAAGGAGATAGGAACAGATTTCAAACTTCAGTCTGACACCAAAGACTCTACTGTTTCCACTATAGCATGCTGGATGGGATTATCTGCATTTAGTATATATATTTTTCTTCCTTCACCTTGTAGGCATTAGTAGTCACTTCAGTCGGGTCCAACTCTGTGTGACTCTATGGACTCTAGCTCATCAGGAAGATGCCCTGGAGGAGGAAGTAGTGACCCACTCCAGTACTCTTGCCTATAAAATCCCATGGACGGAGGAGCCTGGTAGGCTGCAGTCCATGGCGCCGCTAAGAGTCGGACAGGACTGAGCGACTTCACTTTCACTTGTCACTTTCATGCATTGGAGAAGGAAACGGCAACCCACTCCAGTGTTCTTGCCTGGAGACTCCCAGGGATGGGGGAGCCTGGTGGGCTGCTGTCTACGGGGTTGCACAGAGTCAGACACAACTGAAGTGACTTAGCAGCAGCAGCAAGCTTATCTGCTGGCATTTTCCCCCCTTTATTATTTGACTTGGTGGTTTGTTTGTTTTTTTTTTCTTTTTGGCCATGCCATGCATCATGTTGGATCTTAGCTCCTCAATCAGAGGTGGAACTAGTGTCCCCTGCTTTGGAAGCACAGTCTTAATCATTGGACTGCCAGGGAGGTCCTGGTGGGTGGGTTTTTAAATATAAAATGCGGTTCATTATCCTCAAAAATTCTTCGTTGTTTAAAAGTATTTCAACAACAAAACTAAAGATAATAGGCCATAGAGATACAACATAGAGTCAAGTATTTTATCCATTTGACTGTCCATTCTGAGGAATGTGAAGCATAGAAAATTTCCCTTGAGAACTCCGTGTTCCTCATGGGACAGGCACTGTCCTAAAAGTGTAAAGGATGCAAGAATATAGAATAGTATTCTTTGGTCTCTTCCTTTACAGGCTGCCTAGGAAACCAGACATACCCTTAGAAGCCAGTCATATCATTTACTGCACAAGTTCAGTCCCAAAATAAATGAGACAGACATTCAGTTACATACCAGGGAACTGTGGAAAAGATGTGACCAGAGGTGGTGGAAAGATGCAGTCCAGGAAAATTTCTGGCTTGGCTGGATCTTGAAGATCATGGAGGTATTGGAGAGAAAGAAAAGGAATGAACTGAGAGGCTAGGATAGAGTCAACAACAGCATGTGGCAGTGACAGAGCTGAGTCAGTTGGGGTCCCTCTGGGCCCCGCATGAAGCTGAAGACAGGTTTGTTCGCTGTGACTTCTGAACCAGCCCATTCAGTGCCTTCTCTCCAGGTACCAACCACACTGGCTCTCCTGCTTACCTTTCCTACAGGCAGCTAGACTCTGGCCTATTTTGCAGGGCAATTCAACTGTTAGCTATAGTTTGCTATAGGACTCCTGAAGACGACAGTTTTTGAGATTCAAAGAAAAGATTAATAGTGAAATTTCAAGGCAGTGAGATACCAGTATCCCTATTCTAGTTCCCCCTCATACTTTACAGCAGAAGGACCAGAATGATACGTGATGACTCTGGAAAGCTAGTCTGGATCTCGGATATGCTGATTAGTATTTTATAGTCTTTCTGCTAGTAGGAGTTTAAAAACAACAAAAGGAAATGCTCAAACTAATTTTTAAAATAGTTCCAAACCTTGACATCATTTGTATCTGGTAGCACCCAAATTCAAATATTTCTACTTTCCCCAGCCGTTTCTCACTGTATTTTCCTTCACCTCTTTATGTCCAATTTCAACGTGGAACTTCCTGCTTAAATCATCCTTAATTCAATTTCATACATAACACAGCCACGTTAAATCACTTTCTTAAGCATAAAGTAGCACTCCACGCAGTCTAGTCTTTTCCTGTTTAGACATTTTGACAAATACCAATTATGCGCCTCTTTCTCCTAGCTTTCTCCACAATTCCTTGCACACTATTCTTTGGACTCCTCGAAGAGTAACTTTCAGCGAGCCCAAGCAGACACTTGGGTGAAGAAGGGGGTTCAAGAAGACTTGGCCTTTCCACATTCCTTCTCTTTTAGGGTGCAAGGAGAACTTGAGAGACAGCAAAGATTATTAACCTACAAACAGGCGACAGAGCCGCGGCGGCGGCGGGCGGAGCGCGGGGGTTCGGGGCGGGCCTCCCCGCTCGGGGCTCGGCGCGCCCGCCCCGCGCACCCCCGGCCGGAAGGGGGCGTGGAACGCCGCCGAGGGAGGGGCGCGCTGCTGCGCGGCTGCCGGCCAGGCCCCGGGGCGTCAGGCGGAGGCGGGGCGGGGGAGCCGGGAAGGGGGCTGGCGGGCGCTCGGCTCCCAGCCGCGCTCGCTCGGGCCACTCGCGCTCCCGCGCCGCGCCCGGCCGGCTTCATGTGAAGCGCTGGCCCTCTGCCCCCTCCCTCCCCTTCCTTCCCTCCCTCCCTCCCGTCCCCTCCTCCTCCTCCTCCCGCGCCCGCGCCCGCTCCCCGGGGCCCCCAGCCCGGCGGGGCGCTGACAGCCAGGGGCGGGGGTCCCTGCCGCCGCCGCGTCTCTCACAGGCTCCGGCTGAGGCTGCGGAGCCCCCAGTGTGGCCATGGACCGGCCCCTGGCGGCGTCGGCGGAGGCGGAGGAGGAACTGGAGTGGCAAGTGGCGAGTCGCAGGAGGAAGGCCTGGGCCAAGTCCCGCGGCTCCTGGCAGGCATCGGAGACGGAGGACCTGTCCACAGAAGCGACGACGCAGGACGAGGACGAGGACGAGGACGAGGACGACCTCCCCGGAACGAAGCTGCCGGCGGCCGCGGGGAGAGGTCCGTGCGCCCGGCCGGGCAGTGGCGGGCGGGGAGCTCGGGGGAGTGCGGGCTGGCGGAGGAAAGTCTCGTGCGCCTTGGGCGACTGCTCTGAGTTCTGGAAGACATCCTGGACTCCAAGCAGGGGGCGAGGGGACACTTTCGACCTTTAAACGCGCGCGCTTGGCAAGGCGTCTCCAGCGTCAACACAGACACCCCGGTGCCATCATTTCCCTTCAGGTGGTCACTGCGACGTGTGGTTTAGGCTGCATTTTGTCCCCAGTAAGAGTCTCCCTGGGGGTATGCTAGGTGACCCCGCGGTCGGCGTTCCCCTGGGGTCGGTAACGAGCTGTCCCCCTCGCTCTATCCCGCAGGAAACGTGCCCAACGAGAAGATCGCGATATGGCTCAAGGACTGCCGGTGAGTCCTCGCTCGCGTCCGGGGGGAGATCCGCTCAGCTGGGACGCCCGGGCGGAGTGACTCGGGCCGCCGTCCCTGTGGGTCCCGTGAACCTCATAAGCTCTGAACCGGAAAGTAAGCCGGCGGATAGCTTCCTCCTCTAAACGATTAGAAATGGAAGTGCTGTGACCGCCGATTATTTGGTGACCATGTTGACTTTACAGTTGTTAGGACTTCAGTTCCGGAGCGTGATGTTAGCATCAGAGATCAGAAACCTAAAACAGATAATCATGCCGTATTATTATGCTGGCCCGTTTTTATTTGAAAGGCTTGTCACATTTCACACAGTATTTTATTTTGCATTTATTTTGACATCTGTACATCTGGCATAGAGTCATTTCCCTTTCAAATGTGTTTTAAATGAGTTTAATTTACTTAACTACATTAACTGGGCTTTAACTTTATGTTGGTGCCTTAATTCTGTTTGGAGAGCTATTAAAACTAGCTAATTTTGTTCTAGTTTACACCTTGGACGTGGATTTGTCAGATGGCCCTGGAATTCACAGAAGGGAAATAGAGCTTTGAAGCCATTCAAGCTACATAAATCAGTTTAATTACATGCTTTGATAGCTGATACAGAAATGTTTGATAAAGTACAGAGGAGATTGATCATATCTTACTACAGTAAAATGTGCCTGTTTCATATTTTAATTATTTTTTTCCAACTTATCTGCTACTCATAAAATCTCCTGTGAAGAATGTAGGCTTTTTAACTATTGTTAAGGTGTTTTCTTCTGTATATATTTTTTGCTATCTCAATTTGGACTTTTCTTCACCTTTTGTCCAAGTACCAGAGTTTGGGAAGTCTTTTTTGGGAGAGGAGAGAGAACTGATTCTTATATATGCCAGTTTGTTTTTCTTCCCTAAAGACACAAAATAACTGGCCACTGCTCTGTTGGTATCCTGTTTTGGTGAATTGCTTGGAGCCTTGCTGAACAATTCCATTATTGAACTCCTTTTATTCTGGATATCACAGACCCTTCTGAAATAGGAGATATATGGACCTTCTTTCTATAGATAACACAAAAAAAATGTTTAAAAGCAAGAGAAGAATCATGTTTTTATGACGTATAGAAATTAAGATTGTATAAGAGATCACAGCAAGCAGACAATAAGTAAGTGCATCTTTACAGATAAATGCAATGGGCAAATGTTAACATTCACCAGGACATGTGATCTCTGAAAATTCCTGAAGTTTTGTTGCTAATCTTGATTTATGTAGGCAGATTCTAAATTCTCTTGCTTCATCCCTCATGGATTTCTTTCATCAGTTTCTTTCTTGTTCCCTACTGTTGCACCTATTCTGTACAAAAGGAACATTCATTTGTACTCTGGAAAGCTAGAACAAACAGTCTTTTACTGTGAGTTTTAATCATCACAGATTTGACTGTAGGGTATATGTGACTGTATTTTTTTTTCCCCTGTAACAATTTAGGATCCTTCCTAGAATCAGGCAATTGTCTACTTTGTATATTATGTATAAGTGATTTAAAGACTGCATATTCCCCCATGATAGGTTCTCAGATAATCTTTGTTTTCTTATTGCTTTCTATATCCTGAATAAAGATAAAGATACCTTGTCCTTGTTCCTTAAAAGGAGTCTTTATTTTAAAAATCAGCCCTCACCCCCCACCGGATAAGTGGAAACACATTGCTTGAGTAAAGTAGCATCTAAGAAGAGAGAGAGCTTTTGATAAAATTTGTAAGACAGCGATTAAGAGTGTGAGAGACTTGTTTCTGAAGGAGAATGCCAGTTATAGTCTGCTCATTTGCCATTTTCTGTTGGTGCCCAGGCCAGTAGCAATATCTGCAGAAGGAGTAATGCAATGTTTTGTCCTACACAAGAAGCCATTGGAGGAGAAATGACTTTTTTTGAAGGCATAAAGTATAGCTTTTTAAAATATGTGCAAAAACTTAGAGAATTTATGGTCACTGCTTATTCTTTTAGATTTCAAAAACACGAATTTTTAAAGAGTTGCCATTGCTTGTATATTTGAAGAAACTTGTAACATTGGCATTTCAGTAATATTTTTTTGAAACTGATATTTTTATGATTGAGCCCATGGCCGGTGTGAATTTATAACAGGTACAGATTGTTACTGACAAAAGACTTATAACACACAGTAGAACTTTTATAATAAAATAATCTGTTTCTTCAGCTTAGTTTTGAGAAAGAGATGGGAAAAAATATTTTCCATTTAAAAGACTTGTTTGAACAATAAGAATGTGAAAGAATTTTAGTAATGGCTAATTCTTAAGATAGAGTCTCAAGCCAACTTTTTAGTAATCTTTTCAGAGTTAAATGAAGAATATATGTATTTTTTTCAGTTTAAAAGCATAAAATAAATTCCAGACTTCTCTACTGTATCAGAAAAGGTAATAGTTGGGGTAAGGGAGGCACTGAGCAGTGCTCTAAAATGCTAGATGAGATTTAAGAAAACTGTTGAGCCTTACTTCTAACTAGACTCTGACTTTTTAATTTTATTGAGATAAAGATTTGTTTTCTTTTAATTCTGTTTCCTGTTTCTAGAGAAGGGATTAAGAGGAGCAGACATTTTCTTAATGCCTACTGTCATTCTCTTTTTTCTGTTTTTGTAAAGAAAATGCCAATTCATATCATTTGTAATTGCCATTCTTGCTCTTAATTGCTGGCAGATCAGACATGTGATTAAATCATTCCTGGTGAGCTGACTTGATGATAGGTATTTGCTTGGTAGCATATTACTTATGTAATCCACTTGCATTCCCTGTGTGTTTGGGAGAAATGTTAAACTGTGATTAGAAGCTTGCTTAGCTATAACCCTTTAAAAAGTGTCGGGCTGTGCAGTGGCAGCTCTCCAGACAGCTTTTCAAGACTAAGGCTGATATGTTTATGTGATTTCAGTACCCCTTTGGGAGCCTCACTGGATGAGCAAAGCAGTAGTACACTCAAGGGTAAGAGAAAGTTGCCTTTCTAAATCTGTTCTTTATGAGGGTCCTACTTTAGTGTCCTGGGAGTGAAAGTGAATGGGTGTGTGTGTGTATAAATTATAAAAGTGATGTTCATGTTTATAAAATATGCAGTTCTAAGATAAAAGCCAAAAGTGAGAAACCTTGTCATGAACCATAAAAACTGTGGTGAGTTTAAACAAATTACTAAGCCTTTGCACAATGTGAAACTCGTTTTTTTTTTATTGTTCAGTTAGATTTTATAAAGGCTAATTAAATATAGAAATGTGATATGTAAACATAGGGAAAATATATATTGAGTGAATTAGGTCAGCTTTAGTGTAGCATTTCTTTGCTTACATGAACTGAAATTGCCACACCTGAAATTTTACCACCTGTGCAAGGTGGAATTCTAAAGTTCAAAGTACAATAAGAATGTGCAGGTAGTGACAAGGTATATAAAAAATATTTATAGTATCAGGAAAATCTAGCTTGAGCTCCCAACTTAATATAAGGGGGTAAAAGAAATGACTGTACCGGAATCTGGTTTTCAGTGAAACTGTTGGGTAAGATACATTATCTAATTGAACATCTTAAAGGCTTGTTAAGTATAAAATAGCCAGTAGATTAGAACTTCTAACAATTTTACCTGGTTGCAAATGATGGTTTCCTTCAGAGTAAAGTGAAGACTTGTGTCTTCTTCCTGAAATTATAAGGAGAGTAACTTATGAGTACATTCATGTCTGAAATGCTTTACTGTATCTTATATTTTGCTTGGTCAGTTTGTTTAAATTAAAACAATGATTTTATGTGGGGGTCAGGAAGAACAGAATACTGGGATGAGTCTTCTGATGTTTCTTTCAGGTGTGCTTGTGAGAAATGGGGGAAGTTTTGAAGATGATTTGTCATTGGGAGCTGAAGGTATGTTTGGAAGAACAGTATTTTCATATAGTTTTAAAATTTTTAAAAAAGAGAAAGTGACATGTTTTCAGGTTTATGACCCTCAGAGTTAAAAGTTCTTGAAAGTGGCTTAGACACATTTTACAGAAACTTTTATGTGTTAATCTAATGAGAGCCTTTCGGAGACCTGTAGAAATAGCTCTGGAAAACCATTGTGAAATACTCAAAGGTCTTCATTGGACTTTAATGCTCTAAAGGAACTGTTTGGGGGCACATAATGATGATATAACTGAAGGAAGACTTGTCCTGCAAAAGGAAGCTTAAATATTTATATGTGAGAAAATTGCAGTGAAACTTACTTTAGTGTGAGGTATACAGCTGCAGCTTGTCTTTTTTTTGCATTTAAGTATTTCCTGTCTTTCCTCGCTTCCTCTTTTTCCAGATTTTTAGAAGATTAAAGGACAAAGACAAGTTAGAGTTACTAGAATTTAATTAGAAATCATTATACTGATGTCTGTTCAAAGCTGCATTAGGATTGTAAAAGCATATTGTGCTATGTTTAAATTTTTACAGATTATCTTTTCCTGCGGATTCATAATAAAGCTTTCCACAATGTAAAGTTAAGAATTTTTTTTATTGTTTTATTGGTAGTTTGAAATTATTGGTTACTGTATAGCTGAGTTATTAATGAGTGCTTTTTGTTAAAAAATAATTAAGGATTTTATTAAATCTTTTTGAATTGTAAGTTGATGTATAGTGAATTGACCCACTGAATATTGTTGATCTCTTGCTGTTTGAAGCCAATCTGTGTGATAGATTACTTATTAAGAGCCATCTAACATGAAAACTCTAGAATATGTGAATATGTTAGTTTTTATATTTCTGTTAATATCCTTTCCAGGACTAAACTCTATAAAATAAAGTGTAAAGCTTAAACTTACTGCACCCCAATCAGGATAGTTGAACATACTGTTAACCCCTTATTAAAATGCATTTCCAATGCTTCACAATATGGAATTTTTTTTTTTAAACAGTTCTTTTCACAGAAAAATTGAGGGGAAGGTACAGAGATATCCCATATGCTTTCTGCTCTGTATATGCATAGCTTCCCTATTGTCAACATCCCCCACCAGACTAGTACATTTGTTACAGTTGATGAACCTGGAATCAGTTCAGTCCCTCAGTCGTGTCCGACTCTTTGTGACCCCGTGAATCGCAGCACGCCAGGCCTCCCTGTCCATCACCAACTCCCGGAATAAGGCATTATAATTACCCAAAATCCATAGCTTATACTGGGGTTCACTCTTGGTCTTGTACATTCTATGGGTTTAGACAAATGTGTAATTACATTTATCCATCATTATGATCATCTAATGTATTTTTCACTACCCTAAAACTCTGTTCTCTGTGTATTCATCCATATTGAATGATTTTATTGGAAGCCAGGCCCAGAAAGGATGTCTCAGAGGAAAGTGGAACTATTATGTTGTTCTGCTGAAAATTGCCTCGAGATTATTGTCATTCATTCAGTAAATATTTATTGAATGCTATGTTAGACACATTTCTGTTGGATGAGAAATTGTCGTGGCTCTGCAGATCAGAAATGAAAAAAGGAAAAAGTCTGGTGTGCTGAAAAAAGATATTCTTTTAATAATTTTATTCTTTATATTTGTCCATAAAATCTAAATGCAGTAAATTTAACTTAATCTAGACATAAACAGTAATAGCATTTATTTGTTTAGAACTTGTAAGTCTAGGATAAACTTGAAAGGCAACTTTTATAGGAAAACATATGTTGAAATGAGTAGAAATTTTCAAAGTAGATGCATGAAAAATTGACTGTAACTGGAGTGAATTATTAGCCTTAAAAAAGCCATGTTAGGAACAGATACTGCAACACTTAAATAATGCTAACTCATATTCTTACTTATTAGGTATTCTGTATTAACAGTATTAAAATTTAGTAATTAGAACCACATATACCACATACCTTCTTACTACTTATTTGAAACTGTTAAATTTAATTGGTTATTTATATGTCTTTTAATCTTAAACATTCAGTGGAAGTAGTTTTAAGTTGCTAACAAACAAAACCAAAAACACCCTCCGCAAGCTATTGTTTCTGTTCTTACCTATCTGTATATTATCTTTAATGACACAGATTTAATGTGCCAGGACAAGAGTTTGGTATAGTAGACATTTACCAATAACAATATGGCTGATTTGCTTTTTAAACGATTGTGTCACAGTGGTTATTGTCTTGCTAACAGTTGTGCTTTCCGCTTACTCTTTTTACCTGTAGCAAACCACCTCCATGAAGTTGATGCTCAGATTGATAATTGGTATGTAGCTGTTTGTTTTTTTTTCCTTTCTAAACATTAGGAATATTTGTGGCGGTAAAATTTATATAATCTACTTTTGTTTATAGCAGTAATATTTTGGCCAAAGAGAGAAGGCTACAGTTTCATCAGAAGGGGAGAAGTATGAATTCCACTGGATCTGGGAAAAGTAGTGGGACAGTCTCAAGGTACCTTACTCTGAGCTTATACTGCAGTTACATTGTGTTGTAGATGACCTGATCTGATAACTTTTTAAGCCTTGGATTTGGCTTGACAGTATGAAGTCAAGAGGAATCCAGAATGTTTCATAGACCAACATAATTGACAGAAGTGTCTTTTTTTAAAAATTAAGATGAGGTAAAAGTTAACAGATATGTTAATAATGTTGCTGGCATCCATAATGAGTATTTTGAGCCCTATGAGAGAGGAACTCCATAATGGAATAATTTCTACTTCCAAAATTTTCCATTCTGCTAGAGTCTTGAGTTACTCTGATATAAATACCAGAATAAATCTTTCTAATTTAAAGCTTGATATTTAAGCATAGATTTATCTTCATATAAAGCCAAAGATCTTCAAAATATAAAAATAAGCAAATACATATGCGTAAGCAACCAGTTTATTGTCCAGATTATTGTTTTGAAATTTGAACATTTTCTCTGAAACAAATTGAAATTTCCTTCTGCTTATGTTCTGTCTCTAACATTCCTGGTTTCCCCAGTGAGTCTCAGCTTGGATTATCACTGGCATGAGAGATAAGGATTAAAAAAATGTTCAATTACCAATAGAATTAGAGCAGGAATTGACCCCTGTGTAATCCAAACTCTTCTTACTTTATTCCTCCTGCTTCCTGGGTGCAAGTGGTTAGAAAAAAGTTGAAAGTAAGCTCCTCCCTCACCTTTCTGAGATCAGTTGTTACCTGTATTGCCTCTTCTAGGACAGCAAAAGACAGCAGAAAAACTCAAGTTCTGCAGGGTGTCCCTTGGTACCAGAGTTGTACCAACTTCCTAGTCCATTTTCCGTTTTAATTTTTTCTTTAATCTGTTTCCTCTTTATTCCCCCTCATCTGTCCTCTAATTTGTTTAGCTGCTTTACTGGACATCTCTTAAAATGACAAAACAAATAAGGTGAGGAATCGGATAGTTTCTCTACTGAGGGTGTTCTTAGGGCTTAGCTCTTTTTCTCAAAACTGGCAGTTTGAAAGAACAGACTCCCTTTAAGGGTTATTTATCGCATTTGGTGCATAATGTATAAAGATGCTGAAATAATAATGGTGTAAAGAGCAGAAGGGGTAGAGGATCTTTTCACAACAAAGTAGGGATGTGAATTCATTTATAATGTGATGTGGACTACAAACTTACTCTACATCTTGATATTTCTTTTTTTCTTTTTTAGTGTTTCAGAATTGTTGGAACTTTATGAGGAAGACCCTGAAGAAATCCTTTATAATCTTGGATTTGGACGAGATGAACCAGATATTGCTTCTAAAATTCCTTCCAGATTTTTTAATTCATCATCATTTGCCAGAGGAATAGATATTAAAGTGTTTCTGAGTGCACAAATGCAACGGATGGAAGTAGAAAATCCAAATTACGCTTTAACAAGTAAGGTTTTTAAATGTTAGCATATTATTTTTAAAATTATGGCATCTACACAGCAAGATGGTCTTGTTTTTAAAGCCTTGCTAATTTTTAGCAGTAATTGTGAAAATTTAATTATTGAGGTAAACGCAATAGCTGTTTGCTTATTCTAAATTTTTATTATTCTATTTATAGAAATTAATTTACCTCTCCCCCCACCCCATTCTCCACTTAAGTGTTACATTGGAGAATGTAACTTACCTGTGGAACCTTACACATATCTCCAGATTGCTTTTGTTCCAAAAGGAAATAAATAAAGGAGAGGCCTTTTACTATTAGTTGAAGTCAGTCACTTTCAGATGCTTTTCCTATAAATCTATAAAGGTATGACTAATTTGATGATTTTTCACATTAAATCTTCTGCTTATTTTTTTCTTTTTCTGTTGACCAGAAATCCCCAACAGTGGGAACCTTGGTGGTTCTTGGATTAGTTTTAAGAGATCTGTAAATCCAAGCCCCTTCCTATTAGGTATAAAATATATACTTACATATACTTAACATTTGGAAGAGTTCAAGACCTAAAAAGAGAGTCACAGCTATAGATCAATAGCAGTCCAGTCTATTTTATTCCGTACTGTCATTATGCTTTGTCCTTCCTTCTGATTTTTCAAAATGTAAATTCTAGTGCTTAAGAGTGAAAAATCTTTCTCCCTCTCCACAGTAAATATAGATGTTTTAAGTGTTAGATAAAGAAAAAAATCTGGTTTCATAATCTTTGTGGTCTAAGTAGTTCAGTTATGGAAATTCTGAACCATAATAATGGTTTAATTAATAATATGTGTGTACATACACATATAAACATAAATATATATATAATTTATTTATTTTTTTACTTTTGTAGGCCGTTTTCGTCAAATTGAAGTGCTTACTACTGTGGCCAATGCATTTTCTTCCTTATATTCCCAAGTCTCTGGGACTCCCCTGCAGAGAATTGGAAGTATGTCCTCGGTGACCTCCAACAAGGAGACAGACGCGCCTCCACCTTTAACCCGAAGTAACACTGCAAATCGCTTAATGAAAACACTATCAAAACTAAATTTATGTGTTGAAAAAACAGAGAAAGGAGAAGGTAGTACTCCTTCCCTGGCAGCTGACAAAGGAAAGATCATAAATGTTTCAGTGATGGAAGAAAGTGGCAATAAAAATGATCAGAAGTCTCAAAAAATGGTGAAGAAGAAAGAGTCATCTTCTATGTTGGCTACAGTGAAAGAAGAAGTATCAGGTACTTCAGCAGCTTTTATGGAGAATTCTGACATCGATGGGCTTAAAGATGAAGCAAATAGTAATTTTAACCATGAAGCTGAAAGTGGACAAAGTAAAGAAACTCAAAGTCATGAGAATAAACTGGATGAGGAGTCTGGTATTATAGAAACTGATTTAGGTAGTGATTTCAACACGTCCAGTCACAGTGAGCTGGAAAATAGCAGGGAGCTGAAAAATGTCCCTTTGTCCACACCTGAAAAAGAGCCATGTGCACCACTGATGATCCCATCCATAAGAAATATAATGGCACAGCAGAAGGACTCCTTTGAAATGGAAGAGGTAGGTGGAAAATTACTGAGGACTGTTTCAAACAGTGAGTTAGGAAAAAAAGTGCCCCATAATGTTTTTAAAATGAAAGGCAGTGAATGAATGTATGCTAGAAAAAATCATCTTGATTTTGACTTTTCAGGTTTTTTGTTTCACAAACCAAGAAGTTCCCGGACTGTGTGGTGTCAGTATAATGACTCCTCTAGATCTTCCATCACCATTGTTTTTCTTTCTCAGTTTAACAGTTTGATGCTGTGAGAATGCCCTGAGAGAGTATGTTCAAACTCAGATCAATATTGCATAATAGTTAGAGATAACAGGCTTTGAAGTCAGATGGGTTTCAGTTCTGTTTGGGCCACTGAATTGCTGTGTGCCTTTGGGCACGCTTTTCTTAAAGTTATCTGAGTAGAAGGATAAGTGTGAATGAAGATCTGGAGGCTAGGTCTGGGTATGGGACTAGAAAGGACATGAAACTATAGGGAACCTTGAGGAAGAAGGTTTGAAAGAATTTCTGCAGCCCTGGAAGACCACCAGTGTTCGGTAACTTTTTTTTTTTAACATGATATTCTTTGTTGTTGCTGTTCAGTCGCTAAGTTGTGTCGGACTCTGGGGCCCCATGGACTGTAGCCTGCTAGGCTCCCCGGTCCTCTACTATTTCCCAGAGTTTGCTCAAATTTATATCCATTGAGCCGGGAGCCAGTGATGCTCTCTAACCATCTGATCCTCTGTCACCCCTTTCTCCTTTTGTCTTCAGCCTTTTGCAGCATCAGGGACTTTTCCACTGAGTTTGCTCTTCCCATCAGATGACCAAAGCATTGGAGCTTCAGCTTCAGCAAAACAGTCCTTCCAATGACTATTGAGGGTTGATTTCCTTTAGGATTGACTGACATTGTTACTAGTTTACATAAATTTCAAATTGGATGATTTGTGGCTATAACTTACACAATGTGTAATTTTTCTTTTTAAATTTTATTACAGAATAGTTATAGTACTAGTTCACAGCTGTTTTGGAATCTCTTGCCATTGTTTTAGGGAACTAGGAAGTGATAATTAGTTCTGCCCATATAATGTCCTCTTAGGTGAGTGTGTATCTCTCATATCAGTTAAGGTTTTTCATTTATTGCAAAATTTCAATTGTTCATATCTCTTTTGTAGCCTTTGAATGCATCTTTTAGTACTTTAATTCCAACTAAAAAGGAGGCAAGAGCAGGCCTTTGAAATATTTTACATTTTTTGGTAAGCTTCTTTGTATCTCATTATAATGAATTCAGAAGATGACAACTTTAATAGAACTTTTTTTTCCATTTTATTGTTCAGTTGCCTTTTTGTCTTTGTCTTGGTCTAAACTTGTCCTAGCATTCATAAAGTGTAACTTCTTGCCTTCCTTTAGGGCCCCTCTTCTATGATAATCCAATAGAGTGCAAATACTTGTTGGTTACTTGTAGACATGATATAGTGACTCAGATGAGAAAACACTCTTACATGTTGCTTTTTAATTTCTAGAATTCTTGAGTTCTAAGCCAGAGTTTTGTTACTGATATACACAAAAGTTCTTTACAATGTTTATTAAGTGCTAGATAGATGTACTTTGGTGGCAAGTGAACATAAAACTGGGTTTTTTTTTATGGGCAGGGGTATTTTTTTCTTTTTTTTTTTTTTGCTCCCTCTGCTGGCAAGAGCAGTTACTGAAGAAAGTAACTTGACATGAAAGTGTATTTTTTTTGAAGTCCAAGATTACAGGCATTGATGGTTTAAGAATAACTGAAGATTTCTGTTTTCAAAAAATAATACATAGTCAACCATAGCTATGTTGTAAATACAGGGAATTTTAAGGATAATCCTTATTCTTCAGATATATTTCAAATATGGATAAAAACCTCCTAGAATTGTGTTTTTAATCCCTTTGGGAACTTTAAAGAAAGCTTGTAGAACAATGGATAAAGAAAGGAAATAGTGTGTTTCTTTAATTTCCTCTTCTCCCAAGCTTGTTGAATCATACCGACAAATGAAGAGAACAATCTTATTAAAGCAAACTTTTAGATCCCATTCAAAGTAGGTTGTTACTTTTTTCTTTTGCGCTCTTTTCCCTTGAGGCTTGATTCCTATTGGGAACTTTCTTCCTTTTGTAAAAGCAGCGAATAAATATAAGCTAGAGCACACACACTGTCTCTCAGTAAGCCAGTTTTCAGGTTACTTGAATGCCAACTGCTCTAGGTAACTGGATGGGAGAAAAAATTGCAGACATGGCTCTGAGTATGAAGCTGCCTGGTCCCCCTGAGGCAGAAGGTAAGATCTGACAGTCACCAGGAACAGAGAGAAGAACTGTTAAAATGTAAAAAGAGTTAAATAGGTGATAAGACTGAGCCAGGCCTTGGAGAGTGAAAATGACTATCTCTTATGATTAAAAATAAAAGGCCAGAAACTATTTTCAATTAAAAATCAATTTGCCTTATAAAAAATATCTTGCAGGCTAGTTTCAGTGTATCTAAAAGTTTTAAAGACCTACTCTTGAGTTTCCTAATTCTTAATGACTTGCTTGGATTATTCTTGTGTTCTTGAAATAATTTATTTCAAATAGATACATCATAGTAACTGTCTAGAGCCACAGATTAGTAGTGTGAATGATTCACAGTTAAACCAGAGTGATTTTACTCTATAAGCAATTGTTCATCTTTTAGGTGCAAAGGAAACATTTCTTATACTTTGAACTTAAAGGAAGGAGAGCTTTTATCTATGTATTTCTGTAAATAAGTTGCCTTGTGTCTCTGCAGTCTATAAATAAGTTTACATTTAAATTAAGATACTATTGGCTACATATGCAATTTTTTAACCTACTGAAGCTTTAGTAAATGTTTCTAATCCTGTCTTCACATTGATTACTGATTTTAATGTATGTACTTCATTACTCATTTTTAGCCATTAAATTTCAGGATTCTTCTCATTATATTTACTGGCCTGAGTTAAAGTAATCTCAAACCAGTCAAATACCTGACAGTTAAATAGTTCCATTGGTCTTTCAGAATAAGACTTGAATTTGGGTCTTTGTACAAACCTGCTCCTTTTGACTATGCCATACAATTTGTACAGTCAGACTCGTTAATAGGGTCAGACACTGGCGAGAGCTCAAGTCATGCAATGCACAGCTTCATACCTCTTCTTTGGAAAAATAATTCTTTCCTTTGAATTTTTTGAGGTATCATTAAAAATTAGAATTGTGATTTTTGAAGCTTCAGTTTTGGTTTTTTGCTGTACTAAGTTGGTTTTTGGTTTTTTGCATGTTAAGTCACTGTAATCATGTCCAACTCTGTGTAACTCTATGGACTGTAGCCCGCCAGGCTCCTCTGTCCATGGGATTCTCCTGGCAAGAACACTGGAGTGGGTTGCCACGCCCTCCTCCAGGGGATCTTCCTGACCCAGGGGTTGAACCCGTGTCTCTTATGTCTCCTACATTGGCAGGCGGGTTCTTTACCATTAGCGCCACCTGGGAAGACCTTTTTGCTATATAAGTTTTTTTAAATCTTTGAGGAAGGGTTTTTTGAATTAGAACATTCTATGTGTTGCTAATCTATACAACACAGTACAATAGTATTGTGCCTAAGAGGATGTGTTTTAGTCAAGATAAATGTGACAGGTTTTGAAAAACCAAACTAGGTATGTGCATGGTAGCAGGACATTGATTCAAAAAGAAATCTTTGTTTGATTAAAAGATTTTTAAACTGTAGTAACTCAAATGCGTGGATTATTATAAAGTTGTTTTCCTACAGCTTTAAATCCCAAAACACTGAGACCCAGTGATTTTATCATTTTGTTTTAGTGGGTTTTTTTTTTTTAATTTTTATTATGAGAAGCTTCAAACTTACCCAGAGATTAAATAGTAGAGGGAACACCCATTATCCATCACTCAATTCAGTTGTCAATATTTAGCTATAGTTAATTTAATAAAAGATAAACTTGTAACAAATGATCAGAATTTCACTGAGGATTTAAAACCATGGAATAGGAAAAATCTTGCCAAATAAACCTTAAGATCTGTGTTTGGGTTATAATTTTCTGTGGGGTACCCCATCTTGAATTTGAATGCTTTCCTCTGCACAACTGTAACTAATAATGAAACATAATAAACTATGAAATTCAACCATTATCACTAGCAAGTCTGTCTCCTAAGTGATTGATGATTTTGAGTAAGTGGGAGGAAGGATCCTAACTTTAGTAGCTTTATTAGTAAAATACGATACTGTCAGCTCATTTTTAAGGGCCCTGTTCTTTTTTGTTGTTGTTGTTGTTAATTATGGAATTTGTAGTGGAGGGAGAGAGGGAGAAATTTTTTTTTTTTTTTCAGCAGTGGAGAAACATCTTGAAGGATAGTTCACTGAGGATACATATACATTAAAGTCATGTTATCTTGTGACTAATTTTATAAATCTAAAGAATAGAATAGGGAATTCCCATGACGTAGTGGTGAAGAATCTGCTTGCAATGCAAGACACACAGGTTTTATCTCTGGGTCGGAAAGACCCCCTGGAGAAGGAAATGGTTACCCACTCTAGTATTCTTGCCCGGAAAATTTCACGGACAGAAGAGCCTGGAGGGCTGCAGTCCATGCAGTTTCAAAGAGGTGAACATGACTGAGCACACACACGAAGAACAGAATATGTGATAATTCCGCACTTTAAAATGAGAGATCATAATCTTTTGCCTAAGCTGAGATTCTTAGAATAAAATTAAGGAGACATTTGGATTTCTGTTACACTTTTTCGGTCTGTTTGATATTTGGTTTACAGAAAACTCTTTGAAGTAGGCTAGGCCTGAATAGAGGCTAATAATAGACCTTCTGTGGACTATAAAAAGAAAATGTATTTTGTTTCTTTGCACACAAAACAATGGTTTTCCTGTTGAACTTATGTCTGCTGCTTTGAAGAATATAATTTTTTGATAACAACAATAGTAGAAACTATTTTATATTAATTTATAGATGATGGTTTTAAATGACTAGTATGCTTTCACTTTTCGATACATAAACATGGATTCATGTTCAACTATGTAGCTGCTGCTACTGCTAAGAACAAAGCAGGAATCAGAGCAGTTTTAAGACTGGAAAAGAAGATCTTTAACTTTTTAAGTGTTTTTCATGTTGGCTTTTCCACTCTCATTTCTATGGAATATTTCTTACTCTGGAATGGGATTCATAGCTCAAAACCAGGGTTCTAACTAAAACTTGTTTGCTATTTACTTTCCAGTTTGTTCAAGGCCAAAAGCTCAAGTGTTTTGTGGGTTTTCCCACTTTACTAGGATGTTATTTATTATTTTAAGTACAAATCACTACAGAGTAAACTGTTGGGCATTAGTATTATACTCCTGCAAGTATTTAATTTTAGTATAGAGTTAAGTTGTTAGGATAGATAAGAGTATTGGAGGAGTGGGTATGATGAGTAAAGAACCAGGCAATTCCTAAATTACATAGTTGTTCAGGTAGGAAAACAAAAAGACAGCATAAGAGGACAGCTTCTGCGGGTTTGGTATCTTTTTGAACATAATTTTCATGAAGAATTTATGGCTAAGATCTTTCACATTTTAATCCTGTAATGAAACCTGCTTGTCCATGTACAACTTCCAAAATATATCTTAAAAGAACATTTATGTCAAGACAAAGCCGTCTTACACCTGAGTGGTTATATGAAACCTGAAAATTTGTGGACTTTTATAAAGATGTTGCAGTGGGAGCATGATGTGCTGTTTTTCAAGATGCAAGACTTGTAATTACCTTAAGTGTGTGCCGGTATGCTGCAGTGAGTGTATTAGTGTTTCTCTGGGATTGACCTTACACTTTGAAGTTTAACATTTAGAGAAGAACTTTTTCTTATGGCTCTGTTTTTCATTTAATAGCAACTTATTTTTAATGAAGTATTATACTTTACACATGCAGTTAGTTTTCTTTGTTAGCTATAAACTTACAGACCTGTTGTTAACTGAAAAATAGATCATAAAATTGAGATGTGGGACATTATAACAATTTTGAGATAGGTTGCATTTTTTAAATATATAAAGCATTGGTACCTCCTTAGTTAGATTGGTTGTTAGTAAATGATTATTAAGAAGTATTCTCCTTTGCCACCAATTTTTCAAGTTTTAACTACCTAAAACTTTTCTACAGGTCCAAAGTACAGAGGGAGAAGCTCCTCATGTTCCTACTGCTTACCAACTAGGTCTTAACAAGTCAAAAAGAGGTAAGTAAACCCGTACTCACTGGTTTCCAAGCACATTACCGAAATGTCTTTGGGTGATGTGGAAAAAGTATTTTTTTTTTTATTGGTCAGTGTTTGCAGTGCTTATAAATATAAAAAGAAAATTGAGAACACAGGTGTGCATGCTTCATTATGGTTTGATTGTAGAATCATTGGTATCTTCCTGAAGACTTTTGTGCTCATAAAGTAATTTTAATTCACTTACCTTGTAATGACCTTCTTGCACAATTATGTGTATTCTAAATAATGTTTTAGTTCTGCACAAGGGCTAAATGGGAAGTGATAGAGCAACAAAGTCAGGCCTACTTTTTACATGCTTATGTTTGAGATATAGACTTGTATTAGCCACCTCTGGGTTTTCATTACTTAAATCCAGCTCCTAGATATAATACATGAATGCGCTTCTGGCAGAAAACACCAATTTCTCAGCAACAGTTAAAGCTAGTTAAATTCAAACTAGATCAAAGGTGAGTTGCTGTAGGTACTGTTCTTCTCTTGAGTTATTAATTATTGACCAAAGACCCTTTGAATCAATTTCTTTCACTTTTAACTTGCAACAAGAAAAACATGTCTGATCATCTTTAAAGTTGTAAAGCTTTCGAGATTTAGGGAGAAAGAATAGGAGAAGAGAAGTTAAATGAGCACTGAAGGTAGGAGTATTTATTTTTAAAACTTCACACATGCTGAACCACCCTGTTTTTTTGTTTTGTTTTTTTTTAAAGCAAAGATTCATATGTATGTTCCTAGAATAGGAAATTACATGTTCTCTTCTGCTCTGGAGTGACTCCATATGAAACAATATGCATATAAATTTTCTTTTTTTATTGTAGTATAGTACTGGCAAACAAGATCCTCACTCTCCCTAGGTCACCACAGCTCTGGTCAAACACAAAATGAACTGTACTGCTTAATTTTTTTCCCTTTGTGAGTCTGTAAATACATGTGTTCCTGAACTTTAAGGCAGAGTTCATAGCCATCCAGGAATCTTTGCTTTGGATAGGTAAAGGGATGCACTGGAAAAAGCAGCTTGCCCTGTGTCAAAAGGGGGATAAAAACAGTATAATTACCTTAAGATCTTTGAGGAGTAAGCTTCCTGTGGCGGGAAAGATGGAATGTGGTTTGTATTCACATCTGAGTTTCTTCCTCTTGTCTTCTGTAGGAGCTCTTATTTCTGGTGGCATAACTAAAAATGGTAACATTTTTTTGAATCACATCTTTGTAAATTAACAGTAAAATAGTTTTGTGTATATGCATGAAAGAGGGAGAAAGAACAATAGTGTTTTAGTCATTTTTTTGAAAGTAGCCTTCCAAATTTTGATGTGATATGCAAGTATGTTAATCATAGTGGCAGAATTTGAATCACTGGTTATATATTCATCTCACAAGGTTAGTAAAAATGCACACAGCACATGTATAAAATACTTCCCACTTTAGTAATAGAGTTTTTGAAGCTACAGTAATCTAAATGTCAAATCCAGTCCTGGGATTTACAGAAGAGGTTTAGTGATGCAACTCATGTCACAAGTTAACATTCAGTAGGTATGTTAAGAGCAGTCCAACAGTTTCCTTATTGCCAAAGATGTTCAATATTTTCTTTGGCCTAGCAGAGTATACAGGTGTACTCTTTCTCTGTGATACTGGATAAATAGAATTTACACCTTTTGTTTTGTTCTCACTTTAATGTTTGCTTTAACTTCCTAGTTTTTAATTAGATATAATGTCTTACCGCTTCAGTTAGGACAAAAGTCTGTTTCTTTTTAATTCTGCCTTTTTCTTTGGTAAACTATGTTTTTTGTGAAACTGAAATGTCTGATTAAAGAATCTCAATTGTAATTTATAGTTTACAAAAACAGTTTCACCTACATTCTACTTAGTTTCTGAAGTAACACTGTGAGGTAGGAGAACTGTTATCTCATTTTCTGAGGAGAGGTTACCGCTTATGATGATAAAGCCAGAACTTGACCCAGCCCTCCTTGTTCTTTCCACCGCCTGACATCTGCTCTGAAGCCTGAGCAGTCTACACTTGACCTGATGTGTGTGTGTGAATCCAGACGGGGCTAACTGCAGAGAAGTGTGCTTGGCATGGGCTATACTGTACGGTGGCCAAGACAGATCTGAGAGGAGAGAACTTGAGGGAAGCTGGTCAGGCTTCCTGGGCTCTTTGGCAACTGCCCTTTGCCCAAGCAGATAGGTCAGTTTCACTTCTAAATCCTCTCAGCAGCTGTTAAAGTCTGTTGTTGCTTTAGGGAGATAACTTTATGGAGATTGATTAATTCAGCAAATACTTTTTATTGTTGGCTTGCTCTAGTTACTTGGGATACAAAGAGGAGTAAATAGGTTCCTGTTTTCAGAACACTAAGTCTAGTTTTTCTTTTTAAAAAGATATGCAAACATATAATTATGGTGATGACTCCTGTGGCATGTTAATCATTTTCTCAGATAATATGCTGCATAATTAAGACCTGTGGTAACAGCTTACTCTAATTCAGTTTCACAGTTACTACAGTTTACCTGAACTTATCAAGGATATGTATCAGTTCCTTATATTTAATTATGCAGTTTTGTTGACTTCAAAACATTACAGAATTATTTTACATTTTTAATGGGAAAAATATTATTCCGTTTCATGTTGCTCCAGGTTGAACCTAAGGTAATGAGGATAGTTTTCAAAGTCAGGCAACCAAGAATTAAATTCAAACATGTTATGGGATACTTCCTATCATTCAAATCTTAAATGAATGTGGACTTGGTAAGCACTGTTTATTTAGCCTGTTGCTTCTGCAGAGCTTGACTATGTCATGAAATGTCATCCTCAGTAACTGTAACATCTGTAAAGTCTTCCCCGCTGTGGTTCTCACAGTGTGACTGGGTGTGTGATCATGCCTACTGTGCTTAGTTGGTGGTTTCAGTTACTTAAAAAAATTTTTCAGGTTATCCTAACCAGGAATGATAAAAATTAACAACGTTACCTTCTAGTTGAACCTATGTGATTAAGTTTCATTCAGCCAAGAAATAATTGTTTGATAACTTACAAATGTTTGCATCATTTGAAACACCAGAGACATTTAAGTTTTCTTGTATATAAATTATTTGTTGGCCTTAATTGTATTTTTATTTTCTTATTGGGAAGGTAATAGCTGTTTTTTAAATACATAGAATTTTATTTATTTAATTTTGGTTGTGCTGGGTCTTCGTTGCTGCATGCAGGCTTTCTCTGGGCGTGGCGGGCAGGGGCTGCTTTATAGCTGTGGTGCTTGGGCTTCTCCTTGCAGTGGCTTCTCTTGTTGTGGAGCACAGGTTTTAGATGCGCAGGCTTCAGTGGTTGTGGCACATGGGCTCTAGGTCTAGGTCACAGGTTCAGTAGTTGAGGCCCGTGGGCCAAGCTGCTCCATGGCATGTGGGGCCTTTCTGGACCAGAGCTCACACCTGTGTCTCCTGCATCGGCAGGAGGACTCTTTACCGCCGAGCACCAGGAAAGGCCATAGGTGTTTTTATACACTGCATTTAAACTTCTGATTTCACCTAAGTGTCTTTACATATTTTACATTATGAAATTGGTTTATTTGGGACTTTAATTTTTACTAGAGCCATTTTTCATTTCAGCAGGTTGTTCTCCAAGGATAAGACAAAAATACATTATAATTAGAGCTTAATTTGCAACTAAACACTGAGAATTTCTGATGTGATTCAGTTTTATTTGAATTCAAGTCATTTCCAATGTCGTGAAGCCACAATTTGGCATAAGTAATGTATACTTTTATAAGAAAGAGTCACTGTTGTGTACCGTGTATCTTTTGGAAATCATGTAATAAAGGTACTCACCGAAGTACTATACAGCAGTTTTGTATAACTGCATTTCTTTTTTGGTAGATCAACTATTACGTACTGCAAGTCAGCACTCTGATAGCAGTGGTTTTGCTGAAGATTCGACAGACTGCCTCTCGCTTAATCATCTTCAGGTAATATTTCCTGTAGTAGTAGGTGTTGTGATTAACTTCTTTATATTTAGGTGATTTTTCACTGTCTGTATATTTAAGACAATCTGTGCAATCTTTATTTTTCAAATGATAACATCTGCATCCTAGAATTTTAGTCTTATTATCTGAGCATTTGTCTATACATTTTAAGTTACACTAATTCTTCATCTTTCTCTGAATATTTAAAAACAACAACAACAAAAAGCTTCTCTTTCATTTTTGGACCACCAATAAACAGTATTTTAATCCTTAACCTGTTTTGTGTTTTTTAAAAAGTTTTCTACCATCATTGTATTTCAGTGAAAGAAAATGAAAGTATTAGTCACTCAGTCTTGTCCAACTCTTTGCCACACCATGGATTTGCCAGGCTCCTCTGTCCATGGAATGTTCCAGGCAAGAATACTGGAGTGGGTAGCCATTCCCTCTTCCAGGGGATCTTCCCTACCCAGGGCTCAAACCCAGGTCTCCAGAATTGCAGGCAGACTCTTTACAATCCGTGCCTATATTTCAGTATTTTATAATAATTAATTAATAACTAACTAAAACTGTGAATCCATAGCTTGCTCAGTATTACTTGACTTTTATGCTATAGTGTGTTAGATAACCCAGAAGACAGGCATGTCTTAAACTGTCCTCAGGGAGCTTATAGTTTATGTGTGCAGTACATAATGTACATGAAAAGTCTTTAAAACATCTATAAGGAAATTTTAAAGAAAACTGGAGTAAGAGAAAAAAAAGAACCTAAAAAAGAACCTTAGAGACAGCATTTAAGGAGTAAAGTAAGTAAGTAAAGTCGCTCAGTCGGGTCCGACTCTTTGTGACCCCATGGACTGTAGCCTACCAGGCTCCTCTGTCCATGGGATTCTCCAGGCAAGAGTACTGGAGCGGGTTGCCGTTTCCTTCTCCAGGGGATCTTCCCAACCCAGGGATTGAACCCGGGTCTCCAGCGTTGCTTTACCGTCTGAGCCACCAGGGGAGCGCCCATTTAAGGAGTAGACAGTGAGGAGAAGTTTCTAAGGAGGCTCAGAATAATCCAACAGGCATAAAAATTGAGAGATGGAGGAGAAACTTTCAAAAGGAGAGCTGTAGCCACTGTAGTGAAAAGATGAAAATTTGTTTATTCTGAAATTGAGTACTTGAGTGAGTAGTTCTGATGCATTAAATGAGAAGAGTGATTGGAGAGTAAATCAGTGACAGAGAAGATATGAATTATGTTATTTTTTCAAATAAGGATGATAGCTAAGGGTTATAGGTCTTTTTGTCTTTTTTATACAGTAATGATTTAGGAAAGTTGTTTGGTTAAGAGAAAGAGAGCTTGATGCAGAAAAGTCTGGGATGAACCTGGAGAAATACCCTGACCTTTGAGAGGAGGTGGTCAGAAGTAGATTGGAGGGATTAGCTTTGAAAAGAGACACAGTTTTCTTTCAGAATTGAGAGGAGGGAATGATGGGGTAAGGTACAGGGAAGTTTGTAGGTCTTGAGGAAGAAGTTAAGATATATTTGTCCATTTTCTCTGAGTCAGTGTCATATGTTGGAAGGAAAGGAGTGCTTAGTTGCTCAGTCATGTCGACTCTTTGCAGCCTCGTGGAATGTAGTCCGCTAGGTTCCTCTGTCCATGGAATTTTTCAGGCAAGATTACTGGAGTGGGTTGCCAATTCCTGTTCCAGGAAGGAAAGGAGATAGATGCTGAAAGGGGTATTTAAGGAAAATAGTAAAGATCTGGAATAATCTTTGTGAGAAAGCAGAGTTGTTGTTGATAAAGGACACTAAAAGCAGTTTAAAACAGCACCAGAGCCAAAACCAAGGTGGGAGACTCCGAAAGTATAGAAGCATCATAGCAGTTTGGTATTTTGTTAATGCTCCTACTTATTTGAATTTTCCATCCTTCTACCTGTTTTCCTTTCACAGGTTCATGAGTCCTTGCAAGCCATGGGGAGTAGTGCAGATAGCTGTGACAGTGAGACAACAGTCACATCATTTGGTGAAGACCTTGTCACACCAACAGCACAAGACCAGCCTTATTTTAATGAATCAGAGGAGGAGTCTCTTACCTGTCCTCAGATGGAAGGAGAGAAGGCAGCAGCAGTTGCTGAGAAAAGGTCAGATGGCCAGGATTTCCTCCAGTGCCAGACTGTTGAGAACATTGGACATCAGCAGTCCACCTGGAGTGCAGGGGATCACGTTACTGAAATTACTAAAAGGAAAGAGGATGTGTCTGCAGCACAGCCTGTGGAATTACTAAGGGAAGCAAGTGCCGAAAGTGACATGGATAAAAGCAGTGAATGTGAATATGCCCAGTATATTACCCATCACATTCTAAAATCACTGGCTTCTATTGAAGCTAAATGTGATGAGAAAGGGGCTGAAAATACAGCGGGGTCGCCCTCTTCTGTGGACAGAGTTAATACAGCTTTACAAAGAGCGCAGATGAAGGTTTGTAGTCTGTCTACTCAAAGAGTGGGGCGTAGTTTGATAAAGTCAAAAGATCTGTTAAAACAGAGGTACCTGTTTGCAAAAGCTGGCTACCCGCTAAGGAGGTCTCAGTCTTTACCAACCACCTTGCTGAGCCCAGTAAGGGTTGTGTCATCAGTCAATGTTCAGTTGTCCCCTGGAAAAGAGACCAGATGCAGTCCCCCATCCTTCACCTACAAGTATACACAGGAGGAGGAGCAGAGATTAGAAAAAGGAGCGAGCGAGCAGGATGGCCAGTCTTCAGTCACATCCACTATCTTCATCTCTCCGACACCTGGGAAGAAAGAAGCCGCCGGCCCGAGCGAGGCGCCCCGGGCGGAGGAGCGCCTGACCCGGGCGAGCCCGGCCTGTGCGCTGTCTGCCGCGGCGCCTGTCTCCCAGTCCGCCTGCTCCCTGCACTCCCTCCACGCCGAGTGGCAGGAGCGGCCGCTGTGTGAGCACACGAGAACCCTGAGCACCCACAGTGTCCCCAGCGTGCCAGGCGCCGCCTGCAGTGCCTTCCCAGCCCCCCTCGGATGTCCTTACTCACACGGACACGCCTCCCCTTACCGAGCGTGCTCTCTGAACCCCCCTTCTGCCATCGAGATGCAGCTGCGAAGAGTGTTGCATGATATTAGAAATTCACTGCAGAATCTTTCACAGGTATGAAACCAAGTTTATCTTTCTTACTCTTGTTTTCTTTTATTGGTCTGAGTCCCTCTTAACTCACTGAAAAGCTAGGAGCCATCAGACACCAACCACCTCAGCCTCATTTTCCTGCATTCCTAAATTTGTCTGTACCTGCCCCCGCCCCCCCAGCCTCTTCCTTCCTAGCTCAAGGGAAAAGCTGTAGCTAATTCTGAACAAGGTGAATGTCTCTGTTCACAGTCTCCCTCCTAGAGAAGAGCTTTTGTTTTTTAGGTGTCCTCCTTTCTTTAGCCTCTCCGCCTTCGTCTCTGTCTTAGTCAAGTTGTCTTTGTCATTAAAAAAGAAAACTTCTCAAGTGCTGTGTGTCCTTTTCTCTTCCATCTGACAGTGTTCACCACTTCTTTCTAAGTTTTCCTCCCTTGGCTTCTGTGTCGCCGTGTGTTCTCCTGGTTCCACTCGTTGCTCTCTGACTAAGCTTTTCCTTCATCTGCTGACTCCTGACGCTGGTCTCCTGGTACAGAATTAGTCTGCTTCCACTGGGTTAAAAGAAGAGAAAAAAATCAGGTAAACGTGTGAATCTGAATAAAAATAGTCTGTGTGTCTTGTCACTTTAAAAGTCACTGCTCTCAGATTTGTGAGTGGGATGGAAATAATTTCCAAAATAAGTTTTGAAAAAGAAGTAAATTGTCTCTTGGTTTGCCTTTCACATTGCCTTTCTGAATCTCTTTGTAAGCTACTTAGATTAGGCAGTTGAGGAAATGAAGAAAATGACAGTGGAATGTAATGAGCAGGAGGTTCAGCTAAGAGTCGAGAAGCCTAGAGTGTATCTAATGCATTGCTTTTCATGATGATGTAGACAGGAAGCCCCTTTGACAGTAAAAATGAAAGTTATATAATAAAATACACTTTTAAGTAGAGATTTTATCCTCATGATGTTTGTCTTCTACTAATGATTTTCAGTCTAACCAGAAAGTGGGTGTGTCTCTTTCCTCCTTACAAAATATAGTTCTGTCTACAAATGAGAAATTAACCTTTCAGCTGCAGTCATGGGAAGCTGGGGATTCCAGGGTCCTGTCCACCTACACCTTCATGTCCCACCTGTCTAGACCAGCTTGTTCTGCTCTAGATGTGGTTTTCTCTTCCGTGTTCCGTCAGTAACTCAGCTCATTTCCCCATCCTCACTCCACCCCTCCTCAGTAGACATGTGCTTTTATCGCCTGGCCTCTCCCCGTCTTGCCAGGCCCATTCCCTGTGAGCGTGCTCCACATACACGTGCAGGTTCCTGCGTACGTGTGTGTCCCTCGCTGTCTGGTTTTTTCACACATGCCACTTTTTTTTAACCTGGGATGGCCTGCCCCTGCCTTTCTTCACCTGACCAAGTCCTGTTTCCTGTTAAGGTACGGCTGAGGTGTTATCACTGTCGAGAACTAATCTGGATTTTTGGTTGTTTTCCTCATAGCAGTCCCTACACCAACCCCAGCCAATATTATGTATATGTTTCTACTTCTGTTTTCTCCTTGTTTCTTGCACTGTGAGAATGCTTGAAGGCTGAGAATGCCTTCTGTCTTCCTTTTATCTTGTTCACTACCTAAGTGATGCATAGTAGATACTCAGATATCTAAGAATGAGTGTGGTGATTGCTTGCCACTTTCTTCAGCCAAGTCAGTAGTTTCTGTGATCTCAGAATGACATTTGCTATTGCTTCTATATTTCTGAGTTTTGTTTTTATTTTTCTACTTTCTTAAGGCAAGAAGGAGGTCCTGTAAGACATATTAATAGATTTAAACTATATATATTCCTTTGCCTCTTTCCTGTTCCAAATATACTGACTTAAAACTAAAACAGATAGAAGTAGTAGGTGGTACTGGTGACCGATTTATCAGATTTCCGCTTATAACATTAAGTGGTTTTAGGTTTTGTTTTATGCCCCAAAGAGAAGCATATGTACACCCCAAATTCTGCCTTTTTAACACCTTAGATGATGTGGGAAGTAGTCACTTTAACATTGCTTTCTAATCAGACTTTCATTCTTTTGAAGTACCCTATGATGAGAGGACCTGATCTTGCTGCTGCTCCGTATAGTACTCAGAAATCATCTGTTCTACCTCTTTATGAAGTAAGTTGTTACTTAAATCTCTGTGTTACAGGATAATTGGTGTGATTTGGAAGTTAATGCTGTTATATTGCGTTTCAGAATACTTTTCAGGAGCTCCAAGTAGTGAGGCGGAGCCTGAATTTGTTTAGAACGCAAATGATGGATTTAGAATTGGCAATGCTGCATCAGCAAACCATGGTTTATCATCATATGACTGAGGAGGAAAGGTAAAAGCTCATATGTCTTAATGTTGACTTAAAATATTTTCATTCTAAAAAGCATTGGTAACTTTTTTTTTTTTTTTGAAGCTGAATTTTATTTATACTGCTATGTACCCTTTATGTAATCTGCGAGCCAGTGTAAATAAAATTGGGCACAACGTTTTGCTAAGTAATCTTCTCTGTCTTCGCTGACCTGAGGAAGGCAGTGGCTGGAATCTGTTTCTTGTTGTCTGGAATATTTGTGATGAAAGCTAGAGGAAGAAAAAGCAGTTACAGTGGTTATACGTATTGCATATGCTGTTGTGCTGTCTGTAGAACTTGGCATTTCAGCACCTTCCGAAAGCTTGTGAGAGTTGTGAACACTGAGTTTCCAAGCTGCTTTTTTTGAACTCTGTGCCTCCTAACAGGTATGAAGTCGATCAGCTGCAGAGCTTGAGAAATGCAGTCCGAATGGAACTCCAGGACCTGGAGCTGCAGCTGGAGGAGCGCCTGCTGGGGCTGGAGGAGCAGCTCCGGCCCGTGCACGTGCTGCCTCCCTTCCGCCCCTCGGCCCTCACGGTATGCGCCCTCAGTCGTCCCAGCTTTCACTCAGAACTTGCTAATAGCGTTGCACGCAATTTAGGACAAATTCCTTCATTTAAAATCATAATTTAATAATAGAGAATAAAGACCAATGCAAAAATTTAAGGATTTTAAAGGATAAATGATAGTAGGTTAGCATATGACTAATTTAGATGTTACTCATTGTGTATAACTGAAGAACACACATATATATATATTTCATGTAACCTTCCCCCCCCCCCTTCTTGCCTTTGAAAAAAAACTGTTCCCTTTACACTTTTCCTTTATTTTGGATTCTTTTCCATTCTGTATGTTTTTTAAGGAATCAAATAAGATCTTTGTAAAAGCAGAGAAACATGTATACAAACAAGATAATAGAGACAAACACTCTCTCTATTTTGTACCACTATTCTTACTCCTAATGTTCCTTTTCATGCAATTTCAACTTCAACAATTGTATTCTTATTTTTGCCAAAATCTTTCAGTTGTAGAATATGTTGTTTTGAAATGTTGAAACAGTGAACTCTTCTCTTTGTTAATTGAACATAACTGATTTTGTTAAAGTCACTTCAGTCATGTCTGACTCTGTGTGATCCCATAGACGGCAGCCTACCAGGCTCCTCCATCCCTGGGATTTTCCAGGCAAGAGTACTGGAGTGGGGTGCCATCGCCTTCTCCGATACATATATATATATATGTGTGTGTGAAGCACAGATTAAGACTATCTTGTCAATGAATATGTCGTCAACAGTTTTGATCTATTTGATCTCACTGACAGTTTTGATCTATCATTCTGAGAAATGTTCATTGGTGAGATCAGAGAATCAGAACACCTTCTGCGCAACCTTCAGTCACAGTAACACGTTTTACCGGATCCTGTGACAGCTGAGGCTGACTTTTGTGACATAAAGGACAGCTTTAGAGCAATAATTAGCTCATTTTATCATGAAGCACTTGCAATTTAAAAAAGCCACACACAGGCACGCACACACACATCACGTGTATATATGTTGTTTTGCTTTTTCAGGGAGTGTGTGGCAGCAGAAGCGCCGATAACTTGCCATGCCCTTCCCCACTGAATGTACTGGAGCCAGTAAGCCTCTCTCCTTTTAAATCGCTGGGGAGGGGATGACACACTGTTTCATAGACACACAGTTTTCCTGATGCAGATGGCAAAAAAAGATTGAATACACAATTTGATAAGTTAGCCAATTTGATTAGAAGTGAGTCTGGAACTTCTGGAAGTCCGTTGCTATCTTCGGCCACTAGAAAGCCAGTTAATTGCAATAATGATTTATCTTTATGGCCCTAAAGGAAGTAGTGCATCGTAAAAAGTAATTTATATGTCAGGAAATGTGCTTTCACAGTCTGATTCCAGGTTCTTTAGGTAATTGGATCTTTAAGATGACTACATTTTGAACAAAGATTGATTTTTATTGTAATTTAAATGAATTAGTTCATTTGAGGGCATTATGAGTTTTTTTTACTGGTTACTTTTCTTTGTAAGTAATTTGGACACCCATGTGGAACCAAGTAAAATTTCATCCAGCTATAGCCTAGTTAAACATTTTATGGCTTGATCTCACTGTGAATTTGAATTTTTCTTGCTGTTTTTGCAAATGAAATTGAGTAGTAACCAAATGAGTGCCTTTGAATCATGTCTCTACAAGTTAAATGATTTGGGGCAGCATCGAGGATATTAATCTTCTTTTAACTACCAGTCTTAATTTAAGAGAAGAATTAGAGTTTTTCTGATCTCTAGGTCACTGAACTGATGCGGGAACAGTCATACCTAAAGTCTGAATTGGGCCTGGGCCATGGAGAAATAGGATTTGAAATTCCTCCTGGAGAAAGCTCAGAATCTGTTTTTTCCCAAGCAACATCAGAGTCATCTTCTGTGTGTTCTGGTCCCTCTCATGCCGGTAGAAGAACTGGAGTACCTCCTGTTGACTCGGTGGGCAAACCCAAAACCCATCTGGTACCAAGCAAGAAATTATTCCGAGCGTCAGTGGCCCTAACACCAACCGCTCCTTCTAGAACAGGCTCTGTGCAGACACCTCCAGGTGTGGAAAGTTCTGAGGAAGCTGGAGCAACTGAAGAAACCTCAGAAGCTGTAGGACCTAAATCTGAAGTAGAGGAAGAACATGGAAAAGTCTCGTTATTTCCAGCTGCTGAGGAAGTGCATAAAAATGTGGAGCAAGATGAGTTACAGCAAGTCATAAGGGAGGTGAGGAAAATCTATGCTTAATTAATTTATTTGGAGTAGGTTTCATTTTAACATTAATTATTTATAAGAGACTCCTTTGATTCACTGTATTCAGTAATTTTCCCATTGATCCACCTCATGTCTATTATGTTTGTAATGCTGTTTCTGCAAATTTCATACTCCCATGTGAAATAATTGCGATTCTCTATATTCACTTTGGTGAAGAAGGTATGTGTAGGGTTCAAAATAAGTGAACATGTGACGAGGACTTTAGACTTCTGTTTCCACCTTTGTAAAATTAAGGATTATAATTTAGATCTCTTCCACAATTAAAATCTGCTATTTTATAATGTCAATTGAGATTTTAAGAAGTATGAAGAATTTAATCTATTTGGTTTAGTGAGTAGAGACCTATAGAAATTATGTAAGTCATTCAAAGATAGAAATATGAAATTAAAGTTTACCCTGTGCGATTAGCAGTATGCAGACCTGAAGCATTTAACAATAGTTCTAGGTTACCGAAAGGACTGGAGAAACTTAGGAAGACTAATAATCAAAGGCAAAATATTTGGGAAATTAGTAAATAGTTGCTTTTGGCACCAGGATCGGATAGTAAGGAACAGTATGGATATAATTTTAAAAAGGAGACTGCTATAGATACATATTTATGTATGACTTTTTTTTTTCCTTTTCTCAAATCACATTATGTCCTTGGATGCAAAATTCAGTAGAGTGCATAAGATAAAAGTTATACATGTTGAATTTATTTTTCTCATTCTGTTCCCTGTCTTAAGAGTAACTCTGAGGAAGAACCATAATTATTCGTAGTTCTTTCCAACTGGGATACTAAAATCCATGATAAAAAGGATCATTCATTCTTTCCATTAGTGAAAAGAATAATAGCTGCTGTGTTTTAAAAAAAAAAAAAGGTTTACAAGTGTCTTAATGAGTACCTGTTCTGTAAAGGAGAAAAGGAAAATGGATATAAGACCATGAAATCCTTAAGCCTAAAGTCTAGTAGGAAGGTAAATAGAACTAACTCAGGGAACAGTTGAAAAATCATACAGAAAAGCATTTAGTATAATGTGCTGAGAAGTAAGGATTTAGAAATGGAAAATACCGAAATGAACCAGAGAAATATGTCAGTGGCTCCCTCTTTTTATTCTTTGTACTTCCAGTAAATTCAGTAATGTGAATGTAACACATTTTTAGAATTAATTTGTGAGTAACACTGAACAAATTTTTAGTGGTTATGAGTCAAGAATGGTGGTGGCAATTTGCAGCAACATGCACGGACCTAGAGATTGTCATACTGAGTGAATAAGTCAGAGAAGGAAAATACAGCATTGACAGCCCTTGTGCTGGAATCTATAAAGAAATGATACAATTGAACTTACTTACAAACAGAAAGAGATTTGCAGACTTAGAGAACTGAACTTATGGTTGGCAAGGGGAAGGGAGAGGGGGATAGTTAGGAAGTTTGGGATGGACATGGACACATTGCTGTATTTAAAATGGTAACTTGATAGCACATGGAACTCTGCTCAATGTTATGTGGCAGCCTGGATGGGAGGGGAATTTTGGGGAAAGTGGATATATATGGCTGAGTCCCTTCACTCATCTGAAATTATCACAACATTGCTAATGGGCTATACCCAGTACAAAATTCTTCTCTTTTTTTTGTTTTAAAGAATGGTGGCAACATACCAAAATGTTTTTTTCAAATGAGCCATTGCTCCTCTGGGTCCAGAGATTAGTTCATGTATGAGGTACCATCATTTACAGCTGCATGACAGTAACTTGAGAAGTGCTTTGAAAATAAAGTCAGTTTTGCTTTATATGACATTAATATATGCATTCCTAAAAATCATGCTGTACAGATAGATTTGTGCAGTAAAATCTACAGAGCTCATGGGGAAAATAGTATTAGAAGCATAACATTCAAAACTTTTGTCAGTGACATATTTTTGAAAAGGTGAAAACCTAATAAAAACAGTAACACTATTTTGTTAAGAAATAAATGCTGCAATAGTGTGACACTGCCTTGAAAAAGACCTGAAATTTGCTTCTGGAATTGGATTTTGGAAGGGCTGCAAAATAAGTTACTTGTGAGTTACTGTGAAGTGGGAGAGGTGGGTGATAATGAAATCCAACAGAAATTGTAATGCCAGATGCAGATAGGTGTGCTTCATAACACGGTGAACTAAGTAGCTGTTTAATGTTTGTACATATTGGGTACCTTGTTCCTAGGTTCAGCTGACATTCAGACAAATTAACGCTTACAAAACAAGCATTCTGTCAATAGCAGAAGACACTGCATGTATGTAATTTCTTTTCATGACATGAATTACCAACTTGAAATTTAAAAGATCTTAATTCTATAAATTTATGTGTCCTATACATGTAATTATTTTGTAGGTTGGTTGTGTCTGGCTAATATTTAGCAAGCTTTATACATCCACCTTGCTCAGCTAGGTGTGACTGATGGTGTTTCACATCAAAGATCAATTTTTGAGTAGGACTAAGTAATTATTTTTCTCCACAACATATTTGTTAACTGAGGAAATCAGTTTTAAGGTACTCCCCATCTCCCTTGACACAGCATGTGGTATTTTTGTTCCCTTTAGCTTGCTTTGGTTTGAAATTTTTCCTTGAAAACTGGACTGTATATACTCATTTGGCACAAATACTCTCTTAACACACACTTGAGTCCTGATTTTTAATGTTGTCAATGGATGGCCTGATATGTGCTATAAGTGATTTCCTGATAGCTCAGTTGATAAAGACTCTGCCTGCAATGCAGGAGACCCTCGTTTGATTCCTGGGTCAGGAAGATCTTCTGGAGAAGGGAATGGCTACCCACTCCAATATTCTGGCCTGGAGAATTCCATGGATAGTCTGTGGGGTCACAGAGAGTCAGACAAGACTGAGCGACTTTCACTTTGACTTTCAAAGCATCCCTAAACCAGAACATTGATTCTTTTGGGCTGGTAGAACTTAGCATATATAGAAAACTTGGTTGTTCCCATCATACTGTGGTGGTGCTAGAGAATTACTTAGCCATTTATAAGACCCTCCCTATTAAATATGGGAGATTCTATAATTTGAAGGACTGACATGTGAGACAAATGTTTGAAGAATTTTTCAGAATTTGTTACTGTTATTTAGAAACTTCCTGATTCAGAATTTGACATAGTTTGGAGGAACTTTAGCTTAACACTGACCCTTTTAACTGTCTCCAAAGAAGAGCTTACCAGGCAAATTGTATAGTAGATCAGACAGGGCATAAGAGGAACACTGATGTCCTTAAAAAAATAAACTCTTTTGAAGCACTTTAAAAGCATATGTTAATGGATGAATTAGTCTAATGTCATCTATAATTTTAAAAGTTATTTGGGTTATTATCATTTTAGCTCAGTTACAGTGGTGTTCTGTTAAACTTTGCAAAAAATTTAAAATTCAGGTTAGTCTTGATTCTGTTCATTTAAAATTGGTAATCTTTTTCCTTAAATATAATGGTACTGAATTCCAGTTTTTTTAAACTCTTATTGTATCAGCTACCAAGAAAAACAGAATTGTCTTCCCAGCAAATTCTGGGTCCCTAACCTCGTTAACAAAGCCATTATTCATGAAGGGAAGATTTAAGCTTGGGTTGAACAGTTTTGCAGGTGAGGATTAAGCATGTTTGGCAAACACTTTTAGGGAAGTGTTCTTATTGCTCTCATGGGTGCATGAAAACAACGATGTCTATCAGGCCTTTGTTTCCATTATTTCACCATATGTGAAGTTTTTTTAAAAAAAGATTGCTTTCATTACTTATAATACTGATACAGTAGAATTCTTTTGAAAGAGAACACCGAAAGAAAAAGTAAGTAAAAAAGGTTACTTGATAGAATGAATGAGCATGTGTCCACAGAAGCAAATTGAACAGAACTAAATGTCAGAGTATACAGATGGATTGCTCTGTGTAGAGTTTTCTTCTCTGTTCACTGAAGTTCCTAGGCTTGGTGCATGCCTCTGAGTAACCGTTTCATCTGGCCCACTCTTGGATGTGTTTTGGTAAATGCGTAGCTTGCCTGTGGTCTTGCTGCAGCCCTGTTAGTGATGGTGCAGTGATGGCTGCCGCACACGAGGCACTCGGGAGAGGCTAGTAGACGGACGTGTTGCCCCCACTTCAGGCTTGCTGGCACCTTGGTAATATGCCAGTGTGCATGCCTGCCTTGATCTCAACTAGTCTGTCTTCAGTGGATTTTACTTTGTGGAAGTTATAAAATGGACTTCACCGTCCATTCCACTGATTTTCTCACCACTTGTCCTTCCCCACCTCTGTCACATGGGAGACTTTGGAGCTCATGCATTTGTTCATACATTTACTACTTAAGTAAATTACCAAAGGCATTCTGTCGTTTTGCAGCGCTTATAGGTGGTCCTTTGTTCCTCACTGTCGTTCTTGTTTGCGCGTGATACTCTCTCTCACTCTCCCATTGACAGCATTCATTCAGACATTCACTGAGCACTTACTGTGTGCCAGAACACGCTGATAAATTTCCATTTGAGTGCACCCTTCCTATTCCGAGTCCCTTCTCCTCTCTAACTAGTAGGAACTGTCTTATCAGCTAGGCTTCTTTCTGCTCCCTCTCTTAAGGTGCTCTTGCTACTGTTTTCATCCTCACTGTTGTCTGCACTTTGCCTCACTCTTTCATTACTATCTTAAAGTTTGCTATTATCTGATAACTTTTTCCTCTTCTATTCCATTCTAGTCTCTCATTTTTTATTCTGTTCTTACATCACTAATGAGTTAACAGTTTTTCCTGTTTAATATTTTATGAAATATTTGTTCTGAGTCCAACTAGATAATAACATCCTTGGTAGAGACTTTTTTATGTTTTACTGCAGTGATGTCTGCACCCGTCCCCACCCCTCAAATGTTGGCACACTTTTTTGGTTTGTAGATAATACTTTTGGGCTAGTTTGGTTTTGAATGATGAAGAATGAAAAAAATTTTTGAGTGAAGTATGATGAGATGTGCATTGGACAACAGGACTGAAAGACTCTGCTAACTCATTGTCTTTTGTAAATATGGATTTACAGAGGATCTAATTTAACGTACTTCATTTGTACTTGTATGCTGTGGCAAAGAAATTCTGGGATCATATTTGTATCCAATATATATTTGTTTAAAAGACGAATCTGAAGGACTATGAACTTAACAGACCTTTGATGTTTAAAGTTTAGAGACACTGGTAGAAGGTAAAATGAGAAGATTTTATATTTAAATATGTTTCAGTACAGATAGTTGGTAGTTAAGGAACATTTGTTTCTCTGAATATTTATGTATAAATATATATATATATATTGTGTAACGTATATATTGCATTACATTATTACAGAGCCATTTTTGGAAAGACTTCCATTGAGATGTGTTCAGGATGTACTTAGGAACATTTTAGGAAAGAGATAGGCTGACAGGAAAGTGGAAATGTAGAATTTTTAAAAGCTGGTTGAGTGTGTCTTGAGTACTAATTCAGGAAGGCATTATCAGTTTATTTGAGGAAACACACATCTAAAGCCTTCACAAAGGGCTACTCAGAGGTGATGCCCTGGGCTTCCCAGGTTGCTCAGTGGGAAAGAATCTGTGGCCAGTGCAGGACATGCAGGCGCTGTGGGTTTGATCCCTGGGTCCGGAGGATCCCTCGGAGGAGGAAATGGCAACTCACCCAGGTATTATTGCTTAGAAAATCCGACAGATAGAGGAGATTTGTGGGCTGCATTCCATGGGGTCACAAATCAGAGAGAAAAAGATGGAGGTGTGCATGTGTAGTGTTAGGGCATCTGGAGAAGAAAATCTTGAGGGAATTGTCATTGCCTCTATATATCTGTTTGCGTTTTCCAACAATAAAATGACATGTAAATCCTCATTCAAAGCAAAGTTTTCAGACAGGTGACAAACATACCATATAACTAAATATTGACTTACTTAAGAGTTTATGGTGGTTTTGGTGGTGGTGTTCAGTCGCTCAGTCATGTCCGACTCTTTCCTACCACATGGACTGCAGCATGCCAGGCTTCCCAGTCCTTCACCATCTCCTGGAGCTTGCTCAAACTCATGTGCATTGAGTTGGTGATGCCATCCAACCATCTCATCCTCTGTTGTCCCCTTCTCCTCCCGCCCTCAATCTTTCCCAGCATCAGGGTCTTTTCTAATGGGTCAGCTCTTTGTATCAAGTGGCCAAAGTATTGGAGCTTCAGCTTCAGCATCAGTCCTTCCAGTGAATATTTAGGGTTGATTTCCTTTAGGATTGACTTGTTTGATCTCCTTTCTGTCCACGGGATTCCCAAGAGTCTTCTCCAACACCACAGTTCAAAAGCATCAATTCTTCCATGCTCAGCCTGCTTTATGGTCCTACTCTCACATCCATACATGACTACTGGAAAAACCATAGCTTTTACTAGACAGACCTTATGGCTATTCAGAGGATTTTTTTTTTTCATGTTTTAAACTATATTTTACTAAATGAACATTATTCTCTCCACTTAAAATGTACATGTTGGGTTAGAATAATATGTAACTTCCTTAGATACTTTGCTTTCAGTTAGTATAAATTGGGGATACACCTGTATATTTATTCTGTCACTAATGTGTTGTTTTAACAATGAGACCACTTGAGTATCCTGCTGATTACCAAGAGATTGTTGTTGTTGTTCAGTCACTAAATCATGTCTCTGCGACCCCATGGACTGCAGCACACCAGGATTCCCTGTCCTTCAGTATCTCCCAGAGTTTGCTCAAACTCCTGTCCATTGAGTAGGTGATGCCATCCAACCATCTTATCCTCTGTCGTCCCCTTCTCCTCCTGCCCTCAATCTTTCCCAGCATCAGGGTCTTTTCCAATGTGTCGGCTCTTTACATCAGGTGACCAAAGTTTTGGAGCTTCAGCTTCAGCATCAATCCTTCCAATGAATATTTAGGATTGATTTCCTTTAGGATTGACTTGTTTGATCTCCTTTCTGTCCAAGGGACTCTCAAGAGTCTTCTCCAGCACCACAGTTTGAAAACATCATTTTTTCAGCACTCAGCCTTCTTTATGGTCCAACTCTCACATCCATACATGACCACTAGAAAAACCATAGCTTTGACTATATGGACCTTTGTTGGCAAAGTGATATCTCTGCTTTTTAATATGCTGTCTTAAGTTTGTTATAGGTTTTCTTCCAAGGAGCAAGCATCTTTTAATTTCATGGCTACATTTACCATCTGCAGTGATTTTGGAGCCCAAGAAAATAAAGTCTGTCACTATTTCCAATATTTCCCCATCTATTTGCCTAGTGATGGGACCAGATGCCATGATCTTAGTTTTTTGAATGTTGAGTTTTAAGCCAGCTTTTTCACTCTTCTCTTTCAGTTTCATCAAGAGGCTCTTTAGTCCCTCTTTGCTTTCTGCCATTAGGTAGATAGACTTTAATTTTAAAAAAAGAAAACATAAAAGTGAACATAATAATCAGTTCTTTCAGGTTATTTTGTGTCATAGGGTAAATTATCTATGAAGTTTTAACATTTGTTAATATTCTCAACTTGAGAATTGTGATATTTTGTAATGGAGTTATTTGAATTATGCTAGACAAAATCTCAGAACATGATCCAAGTTTGAGGATAGATGGATGTGATTCCCTGCTCACTCTCTGTATTTCATGAAGGATTTACATGAAGGTTTAGTTTTCTCTGTAGTTTAGCTGACTGTAGAAATTAAATGTCATTTACTTGTTTTTTCTGATAAAAGAATAAAATGGATTATAGTGATACTGTTAAATTCTCATTTTCTTCTTTTTCCATTCTAGATTAAAGAGTCTATTGTTGGGGAAATCAGACGGGAAATTGTAAGTGGACTTCTGGCAGCAGTATCTTCAAGTAAAGCATCCCATTCTAAGCAAGATAGTCACTAATGGAATTTATAGGTAAATTTTTCTGAATTTCTTTGTTTACCTAAATGTAACTTAGTACTTAGTTTTTAATGCTTTTTTTTAATATATAGGTCTGTTTCCCTAGCTAAATTTTTATTTTTAGGAAGTATGTAATATGTTATTTTACAGTGTGAAAACCTTTTATAACCTCATTTGAAGTGTTAAGTGAGTCAAATCACATAATCTCAAACCTTCAAGTGATATTGATATTTTATCATTTTATTGAAATTTCATTCTAGTAAATAGATTCTGGAATTGGGGAAATTGGGACCTTCAAACCTGAATTTTGATAACACTGCCCTGGTTATAATATTACTTCAGATGGATAAAGATTTCAAGTATACGTGCATACCAAGTTGCTTCAGTTGTGTCCAAGATTTCAAGACTTAATCATAAATTTTTAGTATCTTTTGTTTTTTAAAGAAACATAACCCATAGGTCTCATTGTACATAGTACATTAGGTCTCACATCTAATCATGTCATAGTAGATAATGGAGGATCTTTATTCTCATCCTTCCTTTTAAAGACTTTTCAGTAATAAGTGAAAAACGCATAATGTTTACTTTTCTTTCTTCTTTTAAGGTTGGCATGGGTCCTATTAGCTGTGTGATACTGGAGTTATCAATGATATACACTGGTGGAGGTGTCATTTGTGCTTCAGAAGATACTTGCTGCTGAGCTGGGCTACTGTATACAATGTTTATTTCTTCTGTGCATATCTTTTATAAAAACATAGAAACGTAGACACTTTGCTGACTTTATTTCTTTTCTAAACTATCAAAACTGTAGCCATTTGACAAGCCTAATATTTATTTGTATGTCAGTATTTTCCCGTTGATTGCCTAGGTAGAATTAATTTTAAAACTTGAAAACTTCCATACTTAACCAACTTATAAATAACGTATTTCTTCAGACTAGCTTCTTAAAACACTGACCTCTATGAGGTGTTTACTGTGCAATAACTGGTTCGTTTTTTGAGAGCTTGAAACAACCAATGATACTCCCTCCACTGCTATTAATCAGTGTCACTTCCGAGAAGAAAAACTATCCTGTTGTCAAAACTGCTTTTCATTCTTGAGGAGGTTACTAATAGCAGTAGGATAGAATTTATGTTACCTAAAACTACTTAATGTTCTTACACTGTAAGCATTGTTATTTCACCCAAGACAATTGTAATTTTATTGTAGCTTATGTAGTTTGGGAATTTCTGTTTGTTTGTTTCTTTGGAAACATGTCTTATGTTAAACACTATGTACTTTTTTGCATTGTCCAGACTTCTTTATTATAAGGACATGTTTCTTCTTTTAGACTAAATAGTAGAGTATTGCCAAAATAATGGGGCCTGTGACTTGAATGGATAGAAATGAATAAGCTGGTTTTGTTTTTTCAAATTGGAAGTAATTTAGATTTTTGTTTTCTCATAAACAAATTTCAATTCATTCTTAACCAGTGAGAATTGTTTGTTTTATGGGGAAAAAAAAAGGAAGGTAGTTTCCTATTTGGTTTTATATATGTTAAATAAATGTGTAAAGTAACAACCAGATGTTATTAGAATTATTCTTTAGCATTTATAATTTTCAACTCCTGTTATATTTCTTTGTGTGAAATTTTAATCAAAAGTGGTTGAGAGGTTAACAATATACTTTGAAAGAATATCTAAAAGGTTTTTTAAATGTTTGAATTATCACATCACACAAAGGCTGATTTCTAAAAAAAAAATTAATAAAGTATTTATTTTGCCTAACATATTTTTAGTGATTTATTTTCTTGAACCACAACATGAAGAATTTGGATTAGATTTGATAAGTAACAAGATCCAAAAGAATTGGAGCATATAATCTAATAGGCTAAAATTCTCTTTTCCTGAAAAGGCGTCTACGATGCTTTCAAAAATGTGGTTAAGCCTAGACCACCATGGAGAAAGAATGCACACTGATGCCTCTTGGTCTCATCTAGTTCTGCAGTCTTAATTACTACCATCTGAGTCAAAAATTTTCTTTAAACTGTACTGTTAAGCTACAAAAAACAGACATTAAAATATTATTCTCTGGCCAAATTCAGTCAAATTCTCAGTCAAATTCAGCAATTTGACTACCTGATTCTAATAATTGTAATGATACATATAAACCAAACACTGATATTAATACTAATACAGATATCAATGATTTTTAACTAATCAGCTTTGTAGCCACTTACAGTTTTTTTCTGACTATACAAGAACCCAAAATTTGATAATCAATATTAAAACAGCCTGAGTCAATGGGAACATCCCCTACGAAGTTTGCATGTAAAATAAAATGAACTTAAGTACAGAGTTTCATGTTTACTCCCATTTTAAAGCTTTGCGTACTCAAACATTTGAAAGCTACTATATTCAAGCCACCATGCTAGCTGCCAAAATGAATGAGAGGGGGTCTCAGTGGAAGAACAGGGCACCTTTTTTTCCTGAATGGGTAAGTTTAGAAGAACCAAATAAAAAATATGAAAATCATAAAAAGAATTTGCAAGAGTGGAGCCTGGGATGGTTGGAGATGTAAGTCTTTATCAAGAAGACTTAGTTTTAGTAAAGGCTTAATGAATGGGAAATGGAAAGGATGGAGTTTAAATAATTAAGAATATTTTAGTTCTTGTTGTTCAGTTGCTTAGTCATGTCTGACTATTTGTGAACTTATGGACTGCAACAGGCCAGGCTCACCTGTCCTTCACTATCTCCCAGAGTTTGCTCAGATTCATGTCTACTGAGTTGGTGATGCTATTCTAACCATCTCATCCTCTGCTGCCCTCTCTTCTCCTCCTGCCTTCAGTCTTTCCCAAATCAGGGTCTTTTCTAATGAGTCAGCTCTTCCCATGAGGTAGCCAAGGTATTGGTGTGTCAGCATCAGTCCTTGCAATGAAATAGTTAGCATTGATTTCTTTTAGGATTGACTGGTTTGATCTTGCTGTCCAAGGGACTCTTCAAGGGTCCCAGAATTTGAAAGCATCAATTTTTCGGTGCTCGGTCATCTTTATGGTTAACTCTCGTTATCTGTACAGGACTACTGGAAAATCCATAACTTTGACTCTATGGACCTTTGTTGCCAAAGTGATGTCCCTGCTTTTTAATATGCCGTCTACGTTTGTTATAGCTTTCCTACCAAGGAGCAAGCATTTAATTTCATGCCTGCAGTTACTGTTCACAGTGATTTTGGACCCTAAGAAAACAAAAATCTGTCACTGCTTCTACTTTTCCCCTTCTGTTTGCCATAAAGTGATGGGACAAGATGCCATGATCTTAGTTTTCTGACTGTTGAGTTTTAAACCAGCTTTTTCACTCTCCTCTTTGATCCTCATCAAGAGGCTCTTTAGTTCCTCTTCATTTTCTGCCATTACAGTGGTGGTATTGGCATATCTAAGGCTGTTACATTTCTCCTGCCAATCTTGATTCATCCAGCCAAGCATTTTGCGTGATATACTCTGCATACAAGTTAAACAATCAGAGTGACAGTATACAGCCTTGACATACTCCTTTCCCAATTTTGAACCAGTCCATTGTTCCATGCCTGTTTCTAACTGTTGCTTCTTCACCTGCATACAGGTTTCTTAAGAGACAGGTAAGGTGGTCTGGTGTTCCCATCTCTAAGAATTTAACACAGTTTGTTGTGATCCAAACAGTCAAAGCCTTTAGCATAGTCAATGAAGCAGAAGTAGATGTTTTTCTGGAATTCCCTTCCTTTTTCTATGATCCAATGAATGTTGGCAATTTGATCTCTGGTTCCTCGGCCTTTTCCTAAACCCAGCTTGTATATCTGAAAGTTCTTGGTTCATGAACTGTTCAAGCCTAGCTTGAAGGATTTTGAACATAACCTTGCTACTAATAGCATGTGAAATTAGTGCAGTCATATGGTAATTTGTAGTTTTTGGCATTGCCCTTCTTTGAGACTGAAATGAAAACAGACCTTTCCCAGTTCTGTGGCCACTGTTGAATTTTCCAAATTTGCTGGCATGATGAGTGCAGCACTTGAACAGCATCATCTTTTAGGATTTGAAATAGCTCAGCTGGAATTCCATCACCTCCACTAGCTTTGTTCATAGTACAGTTTCCAAAGGCCCATTTAACTTCAAAGTCCAAGATGTCTAGCTCTAGGTGACTGACCACACCTTGTCATCTGGGTCATTAAGACCATTTTTGTATACTTCTGTGTATTGTTGCCATCTCTTCTTAATCTCTTCTGCTTCTATTAAGTCATGGTAATGACTTCTGTCCTTTATCATACCCATCCTTGTATAAAAGTTTCCCTTGGTATCTCTAATTTTCTTGAAGAGGCCTCTGGTCTTTCCCATTCTATTTTTTTTTTTCTATTTGCACTGTTCATTTAAGAGGGCTTTATTGTCTCTCCTTGCTATTCTTTGAAACTCTGCATTCAGTTAGTTATATCTTTCACCTTTTTTAAATGGAAGGTGAACATTACTGAATTTCAATTTTCAACAAAGAAATTTTTTTCTCTGGAACAAGAAAAAATTTCTCATGAAATACCACTTAAAGTAATGCTTCTGTATTTCTCCACACATGGAAATCAAATTACCTGAGATTTTGTGGAAATGAAGATTCTGATTGTGTAGGTCCGGGTCCTACTTTCTTGGCTGCACATTCCTACATTTCTAGAAGCATTCAGGTGAAACTGATGCTTCTAATCCATTAAATGTACTTTTAGTAGCAAGGGTTTATATTAGTAAGCCTTACTACCTAACTGCTAGTTACTTTGGAGAGAGAAAGTTGGTAAGCAGGAAAAGGAATTTTTATATCCAAAGATTTGTCAGCTGAGAGGCCACCTTCAGGGAACTTTTCATTATAGCCCAAAGGTAGTAATGAAACAAATGTATACCAAAACAAGATAAGGATAGTAGAGAAAATTACAGTCCATATCTTTGATGAATATAGATACAAAAATTCTCAAGAAAATATTAGCAAACCAAATCCAAACACATCAAAGACCATGACCAA